ATTGTTTACCATGTAAGAAATTAAAAGAGAAATTTAAAAGAATATATGTTATAGTGGGAAGAGTGGCCTTATTTTTACATTTTTTTTGAAATTTCTTTAATGCTCAACTTTGTGTAGTGGGAAGAGTGTTATTTTACTGTTTTACAGTGTTTGGCTTTATAAGAAAATGACTGGGTTCCCATATTTGCTTTTGCATTATTCCACCTATTGCAAAATGCTCTTTTGGTTAAAAAATACGAAGAGAATCTGGTTTCACATGGATAAGTAAGTGGAGAGAGGTATATATATTTTAACCTTTTCAGCTAATTGTGAATATTGTTGTTTGATGCTGCAGTGAAACTTGACAAGCAGTATTTTCTTAAAAGTACTCTTTTGCATTAGAATCCATTGGTCTACCTTTGAGTGGATCTTCTCCCTATGCATGAGTTTGTAATGTCATGTACTGAGCTGAAAAATATTGACCAGTTGAGTTACACAAATCATAAAAATGTTAACGTATTTTGTTATACAAAGTTAGAAACAAATCACATTTCTTAATATCAGCCACTCATCAGAAATCACTGCCAGGTACACAGGTCACTATTCGGTTTGTCTGTCAAATGCTGTCTCAAGTAAAAATCTTGCTCCAAGAAAATGTGTCTTATTCAGTTTTCAGCCCAATCATAAGAATGGTTTTTTTTTGAAATAACCACCATATTTCAGAATGCAGCAGAAATGCTTAATGGATATGTTTTGTTGCATAGAATAATAATAAGACATGTACCTGAAGTTAGAGATTTAATAAAATTAATCATTTTTACTGCTTCATCCAGGTATTCATAGTTGAAATTATTATTTTTTTATATAAAAGAGTGTTTTAATTCTTGTCCTTATAAACTATAAAGACAATCATGATTTGGAAATGAGACTGTACCAAACAATGGCCAAAGAAGAATTGTCCATTCTATGCCTTCTCTTTTGTCTGGTCACTCGGAAATATGTTATCAGCTGTAATTGTTGTTGCTTGTCATCTCACATTATTTTTATCCATATATTCACCATAGTCTACCTTCCCGTCCACATAAATTCGAGACCCCTTTTTCACATACTGATATGCCACATCTCTGAGGCCTGGTCAGAATACTGAAAGTCTGTGCCGTGTTTTTGACTGACCTCACCCATTTGGTGTGCTTCATTTTCCCCGATCGGCCACATCTCATTTGCTGCCAGAGAAAATATTGTGACAGGGTTATTCTTTCCACCTGTCTCATGACAGGGTCCTGACCTACTTGATGAAGTAACTGAACACGAGTCAGAGATCTTTTCAGAACCAAACTGGTAGCTGTTTCAGACCCATGTCTTAGAAACTGATGAACTACCTGTACTGCAGTTCTTTGAGGACTTCCCTGGTGGTCTAGTGGTTAAGACCGTGCGCTTGTACTGCAGGGGCACCTGGGTTCGATCCCTGGTCAGAAAACTAAGATCCTGCATGCTGTGGCTCAGCCAGAAAGAAAAAAAAATAAAATAAAATCCAGCTCTTTGAAACATGGCTTCTGTTTTCTTTTTTAAAATTATTTATTTGTTTAAAAAATTATTTTTTGGCTGTGTTGGGTCTTCGTTGCTGCACACGGGCTTTCTCTAGTTGCGGCGAGCAGGGGCTACTCTTTGTTGGGGTGCACGGGCTTCTCATTGCGGTGGCTTCTCTTGTTGTGGGCTCTAGGCGCATGGGCTTCAGTAGTTGCAGCACGTGGACTCAGTAGTTGCAGCTCGTGGGCTCTTGAGCGCAGACTCAGTAGTTGTGGTGCACTGGCTTAGTTGTTCCACGGCATGTGGGATCTTCCCGGACCAGGACTCGAACCCGTGTCCCCTGCATGGGCAGGGGGATTCTTAACCACTGCGCCAGCAGGGAAGTCCTGTTTTATTTTCTTACAATCTAATCTTCAGTCTTTTCTGGTTGCTCGGCTGGGACAGCCATAATTGAAATCATTTAAATGTAGTTGTATTGTAATGTCTAGAGTACAATGATTACTGGTAAAAATTGAATGCCAGTGCCTTGGTTTGTGCTGAAACACCAGGATTTTTGCCCATCATTGCTCTTGCACCATCCCTGCGAGTGTCTCAGTGAAAAGCCCAATTAGACCAGTGTTAGAACTGTGTTCTAATAAAGTAGTTTTGAGTTTGTGCACGTCTTGGATGTGTCTTGGGGACTCTCTTCAATCCAGGAACCACACCTTGAGAACAACCTTTTTGTTGATGGAATGCTGCTTTGATATGCGGCTTTGGAATCAGTAGTACTTTACTTTCTTTTTGGGTAAATTTAGGCATATTTCACTGACCAGCTTTCAAGAATACATATGCAGAATTCTTTTTCTTTGTTTTTCCATAAAATACAAATTAACATTTTATTATTCAATTTAAAGGCAGTGAAATGTGAGAGAGGTTTCAGCTTCCTGGGAAATGAACTTGAACAAGAGAAGCAAAATGTGTCTAACTAGTAGACATGGGTTTTTTTGGTTGTTTGTTTTTTAACATCTTTATTGGAGTATAATTGCTTTACAGTGCAGAATTCTTTTAATCAAAAGGCACAGTCTCTTATAAACATGGTAAGAATACATTAGAAATCTTGCCTTTTGTTAGTCTTGGAATTCTTGAAGAATGAAGGTGCCCTGTGAAGAAGAAAATTCTGTGAACTCTATTTTGGCAGAAGTTTATAGGTCAGCTCAACCACTTGCTACATGTATGACCCTGAGTAAGTTATTGAGCAGGTCTATGACTCAGTTTTATGATCTCTAAAATAGGATAACAGTAGACCTTCATAAGGGTTGCTATGAGGATTTATTGAATTAATTAAAATGGATGTTCATCATAGCTTTTATCATTTTATATTGCACTGCAGTCTTTTGAGATTTTTATGTATAAGTTGTTGCCTGTTAAAGCACAATAATTTTTGGTAAAGTAATAAAGCATCATTAAAATTTGTATTATAAAAATATCACACATGTATCAGTTCTAATTTAAAATATATTAGAAGAATTCTTAGGAGAAGTGAGGGCCTTGTTTATGTATTGCTATTGGGGTGGGTACATAGTTAAAGTGCGCTTACTCAAGTGATTCTCCTTATTGATATTTGATATATCAAGTTATGATGAGAAGTACTGTCTTAATTTCTGTTGATAACACTACCCTTAAATATTACTTCTGCCTCTTGCATTTTACTAGAAGTATGTAGTAGCGGGTTTATAGAAAGAATAACCTTAAAATATGACTAGGAAGCTAGGGTGTTGGGGTATTTAAGGGGGATTTGAAAATTGAAGTCTCAAAGAGTGAGACTAATAATTACCCTCTGTTAGTGATTAGATATTGCCTTTCTAGTCTTTCATAGTTAAGACAAGTCAAAAAATATGTTACACCTTTGTCCCTAAAAATGTTGGGGCCATAAAATCCATGTATTTTACTCTCTGGTGCTGGAGTGCAAGCAGCTCTTCTTGAAGAGTATCTCTTATAAATAGTACCTGGAAGATTTTGGGTATGCGCAAACAGTCCACACTTCGTCAGTAGGCTTTGCTGATGAGGAACTGACAACTTGGTTTAATTTATTGATAATAGTGCTAAGTGTGATTAGAGAATAGTATTTTCCCTATAATTGCAAAATTATATGAGTTCATCAGTAGTCAGTTTTATAAAATAGCTTTTTTGCTGGTCAGTAATAGTATCCATTAATAGTCAAATGTTTTATGATGAAAAATTTATTTTTTGGAAAGTTAAAAGTTAGCTTTGGGAAAGCTTTGGTATTTACGTTTTCTAGGCAATGAGAAATGTTTCTTCATGAAGCTATTATGTGAGTGGTATTTTTCTCATATCATAGCTTCATTAAAGGTTAACTTTTGAGGCGTCTCTGTTAGGTTAGATGGGCAGTTGATCTGCTGCTTAGTGGCATTTATCTATCATAGGCTTTTATTTCCTTTATTTCTAGCTTTATAGGTGTTTTTCACTATATTTTAAAACCAACCCATTTTATTAATAAGACTGCTTTTAAAAGTAGAAAAGTGATGCTTTCTTTAGATTCAGACATTGCTACTTTTGCCTCAATGTTTTTTATGATTGCTACATTTAACACACTTGTCTGGTATTGCACAAGATCATTAAATAGTAGTGTAAATTTCAATTATGATATGTTGGGTAATTTCACCTAGAGATTTCATTGAAGTTAATTCTATATAACTATTGTTGGTAAATGGGTTTCTAGGAAGTAGTTTCTATACTGAAACTTAAAATGTTTTGTACATTTGTATGGCTTTTTATGTCACAGGTAACCTCAAGAGCATTTTGTTTCAGAACTTTCCAACTGTGTAATAACACTTTTATTTTGGTTTCCAAGAAAAATTCTTGTTCAAATAAAGGAAGCAAAATTATGTTGAGCTTTCAGTAATTGTTTGTGTGTAGTGGAGGCTTTCATGGTATATCTGTAGGTCCTGGGTGAAATAATACTTGAGTACTTGAATAAAAATGCAAAGGTGAATTATAATATTTCAAAAATGAAAATTGTCTATAACATTATTTTTGGTTTAGTACCCCACAGCTGCTTGTGTTGTGTGTTTGAATACATTTGAATACGAAAGTGGTAACGGTCATTTCTGTTTTAAGACTTTAGAGACCTGGGAGGGAAAAATAGTTGGTCCTGGTGGTCATTATTGTTAGATTTTTCTTCTCTTAGAATCTAGGCATGTGTGTATGATCTCTAGGGATAATAACATTACAAATATCCTGTAGTAGGTTTTTTGTATGACCCATTGATAATATAGCAATATAAATTGGGTGCTCTAAGCTCTTGCAGTATATTAATTAAGCCTGGGAGACTGAAGTTTCTTTTCAGTGTTCTTATTAAGTAAATGATGTTGGAAATTTAAAAATATTTTAATGGAACATGATGTCGCAATTTATTCTTTTCTTTTTGATTTTAGATGGGAAATGTAAAGTCCTAAGATCGATAGGTTGACTGTGACAACTATGTTTACTTACAGAGAGAACAGGAAATGAGAATGGGTGATATGGGTCCCCGTGGAGCAATAAACATGGGAGGTAGGGATTTGAAGCAAACCCTTCTGTCACTTACTTGTCATTTTTCAGGGACGTGTACATGCTATTTGTGTTATCTACATATCAGTAACAAACAAAAATTTGCAACCAGCGTTTGTAAGTGGTGAAATTTCCTACATTTATTTAATGAGAAAAAAAATACCAGTATATTAAAAATACATGCCTAGGAAGAACATTTTTATTTTGTTTATTCTTAGGCTAAAAGAGGTATTATGTTTTAATAGATATAACAAAAAGAAACCTGTAAACAGGTTTTGGTAAATGACCTGAAACTTGTTGAGTCATCACATGGTGTAATAAAGCTATGTTGTTGCATTTTAAAAAATCAGATTTCTTGCCTTGAAATTGGCTTTTTTATCTTGGAATTTTGATAGTTTCTGAGTTGTAGTGTATATAAACTTTTTGAGAGTATTTTATTTCTATTTTAAGATAATTTTTTGTGTAACTTTGAGGCTATTTTTATTCCTTTTACTGAATGTTTAACTTATTTTGCCCTAACCCACAGTATTGTGCACAGAACTGCACTGTTCGGAGACATCTATGACTTGTCAAGTAAATGAGATGTGCCTTGCATATTTAGACTAATGTGTATGTTTAGAGTTGATGTGAAGTTTTTAAGAAAGTGCCTATATTAGCATCTTTAATATTGATTGCTTGTATAACCAGGTTGTTAGGGCAGCAATGTCAAGTAAATAGGCTAAGGGAAAAATAAGTATGGGATGTTTTCATATGTCTTATTAAGTTTGAACTGTCATACGTTTGAAAATTAGGTAAATAATAAAATTTTATATATTAATTTCACATTGTCCCACAGAAGCTGAGGTTAGAATCTTTATATGAAGTCAAATGTACATATTGTTGTAAAGATTACATTACCTTAACATTCCAGTGTGCATCACATGCACTCCCACTGAGGAAATCCAGATTGTACTTGGAATGTACATGTAGTATGTAGAGTAAGACATCTTAAAGCCTCTAATATGTGGATCGAGCATTTTCCATGACCAAGCACCCCTCCCCCATGCCAGTTCCGTTGCCATTGCCAGTTAGATAATCTAAATCATTTAACACAATTGCTGTTCACTTCGTCACTTTTCTTATCTACCAAAAAGTAGTTATTGAGCATCTCTGATATGCAAAGGAAGCACGAGACATAACCCTTAACCAAAAGAGCTTAATTGTGAAGTTAGTACAATGGATACATGAAAAAAGTTAGTGCACCAAGAGTACATGAGAAGTTCTCAATTAGAAAGCACAGTTGAGGGCCTAGTAGTGTACAGGTAGTTCAGTATTTATGTCTTTTTCAAAGTAAGTTGTGGGCTGGTGTATAATATAATCCAGTTGGATTTAAGGATTTTAAGTGTGTCATTAACATCAGAACCAAACTTGAAACATTTGTGATGTTTCAGAGACCATGAAAACATTCTGACTTTCTTACTTGATTAGCAACTTTATTAGAAGAAATGGGAGAATGTACTTTTAGATTCCTTATTTAGTGAGGAATTTAAGAGAATTAAAAATTTTAATGGCATTTTATTCACCAGAGAACCATGTTTACATTTGAGCACTTAATTAGCTCCCCTAACATCCACGCCATTTAATTTTCTCCTCTTTACATTTTATTCGAAGTGAGATTTTATCCTCATGATAGTTATGGATCCATGGAGCTACAAGTCCTTATCTTGCAGTTGAATGTCACTGTTGGTAAATTGTCATATCCTGTCAAGTTGCATGGATTAAACATGACAGATTTTCTGGTCTGTTACCAGTGTGTACGAAGTGGAACATAGTTTATATAACTGCTTTTCAGGGGACCAGATAATTCTAACATTCCTTAGATCTTTAAATTTAGTCTAATTACAGCCATCTGGTAGAAGACATAGTTACTAAGTCTACCTCAACTAATGATAGTTTTAAATATTTTTCATTTATTTTATTATACCCATACTTGTATAGTTATATTCGTATCTCATAAGTTAGGTGTGATAATTATGTTCTATTAAAAGAGAAGAAAAACCACTAATCCTTGATCTGTTCTTTTTGGGGAAAGTTGAGGTAACATTCCTCCTGGATACTGTCTCTACCCTTCCTCATTTCACTTATGGGAGATGTTGTGGAAGACCAGTAAAAATTTTTCTTTATAGCTATCTTAAGGGAGTAGAAGTATTCTTGTGTAGTTAAAGTGTAGATTAACTAACAAGAACTTTGGGGCATTAAGGAACTACTTCCTTCCCTAGGAAGTGGCTGGGGTCCTGGGGATTGGGCTCAGAAGGAGCAGGGGTCTGTTGCTAGGGGCTGGCAGGGAGTCAGATTTCTTCCTCTCAGCTCCCTGGACCCAGTCCTGTGCCGGTTGAGCTGCATTGGGTGCTGTGTAGAGTTGTGAGTTTGAATGAAAACTGCCACTCCTATTATGATGTGTTGTTGCGAAATTGAGTTCTGAATGTCATGAAATTAACTAGATAATGAAATACTAGAAGAAAACTCAGAATCAGTCTTTGTCATGAATTTTTAATGATAAACAAGTATGAATAGTTTAAAAAATTTTTAAGTTCAAAGAGGATACCCAAAAATGTTGTATTTGAGGCCATTATAAATGTATTACAGCTTAAACATTATTGCAGTTAACATGAAGCAGGTGGATGGATGTCTTTTGATGAAAAAATTTGAAGTATCCAATTGTTCTCATCTCCAGAATTTCAGCATGTTGAAAAAATTCAAACAGCTGTATTAATATTTTATCTGTATTTGGTTGCAGTTGCTTTTAGAAATAAGTTTTGTCATGATGAATCATTTCAATTTTTTTGTTTGTTTCTATTGCATAGTTCTATATAAAGTTAAAAAAGAGTACCTCTTATAATTTTGGGAGATGTTCAGTAATTATATAAAAGCCAAGAATTTATTTACAGTGAACTTTGTGTGTGTGTGTGTGTCTGTGTATGTATGTATGAGGACATGGTTTCTCCCTTCATAATTTAATATAATTTTACATGCTAGTATTTTTAGTCATGACTGTAAGAAAATTAAGTGGTTTCCTAAGTGCTAATCCTTTGCCATTAATTTAAACTGGTAGAAAGTTGTCACCACTCGTAAGGGAGTATTTGGTTAAAAAGCAGACTACAGCAAATAATACTGATTTTTTAAAGAAAACTTTCAAGCTTTTATAGTCTCAAATGTGCTAAAAATAATTGACAGTTTTCTCATTTGTTTTATGTACATTTGTTTAGCAAATATAATGCTCTATCAGAGTAGATAATTGAGTTTCCCATTCTCAAGGAAGTAAAATAATTTTGATAATAGTCTTGTTATATAGATTGCCTAAGTATTGTTAAATTTTAAATGTTTATCAACTAAGATAGGACAGCTCTAAGTATAGATTGTTTTACGTAGATGCGTTTAGCCCAGCACCTGCTGGTAACCAAGGTCCTCCTCCAATGATGGGTATGAATATGAACAACAGAGGAACTATACCTGGCCCACCAATGGGTCCTGGTCCTGCCATGGGGCCAGAAGGAGCTGCAAATATGGGAACTCCAATGATGCCAGATAATGGAGCAGTGGTAATGTATCATAAACATTATTGTGATTATATTCAATAATATATACTTCTGCCCCAAAGGTAACTTCACACTTAACATAATTTGGCATCATTTGTTTTGTCAGTAAAGATCAGTATCCAGTGAAGAAAAGGTAATTTTGTGAAGTTAGATGGTGATTATGAGAGGCAGTTTTTTAGTTTCCCAAGAGTTAGGATTATGATCCATGGCATGCTTTTGTACTTAAGTATATAGCAGGTATGTATGTTAATTCTAGTGATTTTACAGTGATTTTAATTTAATTTGTATACACCTTTTACCAGCATTCAGTGTAATGGTCAAGTATTTTGTGATCGTGTTCTTATTCCTGTGTGAACTCCTTACCTTTGGTGGGGTACAAAACCTCAATATGTGTGAAAACACAGTTTTCTGTCATTTTTCGTAAAAAAATCATTTATGAGTAATTTCAGAGAATTTAACTGTAAAAAATTTACATTAAAATTTTAAAATATATTTTAAACTTACATTGTATTCTTACTATAGACTTACTAATTTTAATTAAATTTGATACTAAATTTAAAGTAGACAATTTCATTTCTTGGTTTCAGAGTGTGAAGATATCTTTGTGTGGGTTAAATATTATAAAAACGTTTTTCAGTTGTAATTCATATTTGAGAATCAGTGGCAAGACTGCTACTGTTTTTCATTTCCCTTAAAGTCTGTCACTTTTTGAGACGTTATATTCCTAAGACGTTTTCTCATTTGGTTCTTTTTAATGGTTGTCCTAAGTAACATTTAGAAAAGGGAAATTAGTTGATCGTATATTTGGAAAAGGCAGTTCAATTTTGGAACTGAAGGCGCCTTTGCTGCTGAGAAAGAAAAGGTGCTGCTGTTAAACGCAGACCTGCCATCAGCTCTAAACCCTCCTGATCTCAGAGACGTGAGCAGTGAATGTGCGTCTTAGAACTGATGGATGCGGTGTTCTATTATTTTAAATTTTATTTACTTTAAATACAGTCCTTTAAGAATTTGGACAAATTGGACATGCTAACAGGTTTTTTAAATGAGTGTTAACATAGGGAGATAATGAGGCAGTGCCGTAATACCGACTGTGATCAGGTCAGATGTTGCATACTAATTAGTGTTCCTGTTTCCTCCATTGGAGGCTTATTTTGTAGTAAAATGTCTGAGAGCTAGTAAAAATTTGTAAATACTTTGGTTAAATTTTGTGTAGCATATAATCATCAGCAGAGAGTTAAAAGTAAAAGTAACTGGCCTGCTTTTCCATACCTCCCGCAGAAATGGTAAAGTTTATTTAAATATCCCCGTTAGTCTTTTTCACAGTGATGTTTTACTGCTGCATGTAGGGAGTTCTGTTCAACCTTTGAGATTAATATATGTGGTTATTACTGTGAAGTTTTACAAAATACATAATTCAAGTGTTTTAATTCTGCTATTAGTAGTACACGCTAATTGTCAGCTTTTAAAAACTATATCTATTTTCCCAGTGATAGTCTTTCCAGAAAAACACCTCATAAGTTTTCATACTGAAATTATAACTGTGTTTATACTCATGCTTTCTATGTTAAAAGCACTGCTATTGAAATTTTTATGTTTACTTTTTCAAACAATGTGATGCTGCTCCCTAGTTTTGTCTCTCTGATTTTAAAAAAACAGTATTTTTATTACACGGCGCTGTTACATGCAGTATAAACTTTAATGAAAAAGAGAGAGGGAATTCCCTGGCTGTCCAGTGGTTAGAACTCGGCCCTTTCACTGCTGAGGGCCTGGGTTCAATCCCTGGTTCGGGAACTAAGATCCCGCAAGCTGTGCGGTGCTGCCAAAAAAAATAATAATTAAAAAAAGAGAGATCAGAACAGTATAATAATAACTAATTAGGTTTAAGATGGCATTCACTTCATAAAATCAGTTCTTTTTTCATGAAATTGGGGCATAGCATTAGCAAAATGTAACTCTTCATTCAGATGCTTCTTTTATTTTTTAAACATAGTAACTAATTAAATTGCTCCTTTCTTCCTTCTATGTGTGATCCTGATTCTGCTGGACTTTCTGCTGAACTTCATGACACCACCACTTGGGATTTTGCCAATTTTTCTTGTCACTTACATTTGGTGTGTTCCAAATGGACTTCACATGTATTATGTGGTATTATATAGCACAATGATAGATTTCCACAAGGACCACCGTCTCAGATGGGCTCACCTATGGGTAGTAGAACAGGCTCTGAGACCCCCCAAGCACCGATGAGTGGTGTAGGTCCTGGTAGTGGTGGTCCTGGTGGTTTCGGTAGAGGAAGCCAAGGGGGCAACTTTGAAGGCCCTAATAAGCGTCGTAGGTATTAAACATTCTTTCATTCCTGACTACTTAGAGGAAAACAATACACTTTTACCTGTTACCTAGAAGTGGTTTTATTGTTATTGTATGTAGACGTTAAAAATTTTTTGTTGTAAAACTTGAGGTTTCTGTATTTTTCTTTATTCATAAGCTTGTAGATTAGAATGGTAATGATGATGCTCCTCGTTGTGAATGTTCAGATGTGTTTGTGACTTCAGCTAAATACAAGTGTGCCACAGTGCTGTGAATTCTGTGCGGTTAATCTCAATAAAGAAACCACCCTGGATAACTGTGAAATGTCATTAGTGGTATTCTCTTACAGTTTCACTAAACTTTGCTGTAACAGTAATACTTTGGTTGCTTTAACTAACCCCAGCCATTTAAAAATGCAAATGATTTTCTGTTTTTTAGTTTGTGCAAGTTGCCCTGAAGGTAGAAGCTTAGTGAAAACTGATGTCACTAAGGGGCAGACAGAGTAGTACATTGGGGAGGGCGGGTATGGGGATTACATCTGTATGCACCGTTGATGTCCTGTGAACCCACAGTTGCTGTCTACATTTCATATAGATTCTGAATATTCAAATATTCTGAGGAGGAATATTAAGGATATCTTTGTCCTGTGCTGATTTTTCCAAATAAATCTTTTGAATCTTGGAAAAAAAAAAACCTGTTTGAAGGCAAATCTCTTTTGCTTATAAAATAATGTCTTATTTTTAATCTTATGTGCTATTTATTTGCTGTCAATATCTAGATCTTACCCTTTAAATTTTCTTTAAAATCAAACAATACTGTTAGGTTGGATGTTAGGTGAGGATTTGCTGTGTGACTTAGAAGAAATTGGGCATTTCTTGAGCATGTTGGTTTCTAGAAGTGTTCAAGGTGGCCTGACTCTGCAGGGTTGTGAACGTTCTTCTGTCGCTCAGGAGTCTCTCCAGCAAAACTTGTCTGACAGGCTAGGTGTGCTTGTCTCCCAGGAATACAGTTCAAGTGGTGATTTTAAAAAACAGAATTAACTTGAGTATGGCTAGTGTTATTGGAATCAGATCTCTCTACTGTCAAATATGTGTTTTGAAGATTGATTTCCAATAGTATGGAGAAACATCTTATCATATTGGGATTTTTATTCCAAAACAGAGTCCTCGTTATGTTTAAAATTCTGTATGTTAGACATGTTTAATTTAGAATTACATTTGAGGAATCATGTATTTAATGTAAACCACAAATCTGAGGCATCAGGCATTGGTCATAGCATAGTTATTTCTCACATAACATTTCAGTGTGTTAGTATATCATGCTTTTAGCATTTTTCTGAAGAATAATATGCTTTTTTAAAGTGAACAGTATGTAAATATTACCTCATCTTTGCATGGTTTCTGTTTTTGCTGGAAGGCATACTTTGGAAAGAAAGAAGTTTGGTTACTTATTTAAATTCTTGCGTAAAAGCAGTTGAGTGTAAAGCATGATTGAGATGCATGCTTTTGTATCATACTTTTCTTATGTACTATTTTATGTTCTATTTTTTAGACACAACAGTATGGATGGAATTGTTTTCTAAAATTTGCAGTGTTCTTTTGTTTTTGGCAAATCTTTGAAAACATGGTAATGGAGATTGTAAAGTAATAATCAGAGACTCTTCTCATCACGTTTCCGTGAGTGTGAGTTGGCAGGGAGTGGGATTTGTTCTGATTTGTGACATTAATTGCAGTGCGGGGAGTTTTAACATCAGTTATGATTTTTAAGTGATGTCTCTTGCACCTAAATATACCTTTCCCATCATCTGTTATTTTTATTCATATAATTCTTAGGTAATGTTTAGCATTGTATTTTGCTTCAAAGCTGAAGTAAGATTGGGAGAAACTTTATCCTTGATGTTAATTCCAAGCTATCTTTGGCCAAGGCTGTGAAATTCTATATGATTCATTCAAGAACATTTGAAAGCATTGCACAAAGAGATGCCCTAATCTCCTGAACTTTCTAGTGTCCGGCTCACTCTGGCTCCAAGAACAGAGCTCTGCACAGCTTTGTCCCTGCATCGAGAAAGCCCTTGTTCCAGTTCTTACCAAGTTTACCCTGGGAACAGTCAGCTTCTGAGTGACAGTCAAGTGGAGCATCTGTGAATTGCTAGTTATTCAGTTTTTAGTGTTTTTGTCCAGTTAAACAACTCTGTGGCTCGCTCAGTCATTGTTTTTTCTTGTGAAAGAGTATACCAAGGAAGACATTTGAATGTCATTTGCTTAAAACCAGTAAATATAAAAATAAAGAATAGTACTAGCTTTTCTAAATAACTGTGAATTTGTCATATATGCTCCCATAATTCTTTCCATAAAAAGATAATATGAAACAGTTTTAGTATTATAACATCACAATATTATGTTTCTTTTTGTGTAATGATTTGAAACACTGAATTTAAAGTCTGCAGGATTTAGGTTTCATATGCTATTATTAACATGCACAAATAAAGGAATACCCATTTTCCAGTTGTTTTATTTTAGCAATGTATTTTGTTAATTTCCCCATTTTTGTTTTTTTGAGAATAAATGTATTCATTTTCTTCTTGACAGATCCAGTTTTTAAAGAACTATTGGTTCACTTGTATTTCATAAAGCTTAATTTGTTATTCTTCATTGAGGTTTTGGGTTTTTCTGCTTAAAATCAGTGCTGAGAGTTCATTGGAAGAGATTAAATATTTGTTTTTAATCCTACAATATCAATAATGGAGAAAAATATCTGTTTTACTTGGAATTGCCGTTTAATAGAAATAGAGATTATCAGCAATGACAGTAACTGAATTGGATCTTGTTTCCCAAATACTAATTGAAATCATACCATCACATTTTATTCAGAAACGTACTTGTTGAATATTTCAGAAACTTGGTGTTATATGTAAACTCTATATAGTAATTGCTAAATGTCACGATGAATGGTTAATAGTCACTTATTAATAATTTGGGGTTGGGTTTATAATTACAACTTAGATTCTGGATGAGAGAAAGAACATAAATATGTGATTGAAGGGAAATGTTTTGTGAAAGAATGTGATCAAATGTATGTTTAACCTTTAAAAAATTTGATATTGGTGTCAAATGGCACTAGTCAGAAATGAAAGGGACACTTTACTTGGAAAAACAGGAAATTTCCTGGGGGGTAGTGCGATATTTAAATGTGGTGGGTTTTTTTTTTTGATAAGAGTTCTGTTACAATATCTAATAACATGTTAAAATATATTCCTGAAATTTGAGAGGGTAGCAGTGATTTTAAAGTCAGACTTGTTTTCAAGAATAAGGGAGTGAACACCCACATACCTGACTCGTAGATTCCACAGTTGTAAATGTTTTCCCGTCCTTACTTCCTAGTTGGTTAGATACTCCTAGACAGGGGCTCGTGGAGTTGGGGCAGGGGTGCTACTTCAGGTGAGCAGCCAGGCCATCTCTCAGGTGGTGTAGCCCAGCGTGGGTTATCTCATCCTAAATAAATCAGGATTAAATGAATTGACAGTAGTTTCATATTTTCCAAAAGTGTTATTTCCTTTCCAGCGCCCTTCACTACTAAATTTTTAAAAATGGGAAGCAGTTGTAATGTGAGTAAAGTATGGTTTCCCAGCTGGGTAAAATGAAGTATGCGCAGTTTCCCCGTTGGACGTGGTTAAGTAACTTATGGAATGTCACTCTGGGAAAACGGTGAAGAATTTCACTATTTTTAATAGTATCTGATCGTAACTTTTTTTTTTTTTTTTTTTTTTGCGGTACGCGGGCCTCTCACTGCTGTGGCCTCTCCCGTTGCGGAGCACAGGCTCCGGACGCGCAGGCTCAACGGCCATGGCTCACGGGCCCAGCCGCTCTGCGGCATGTGGGATCTTCCCGGACCGGGGCACGAACCCGCGTCCCCTGCATCGGCAGGCGGACCCTCAACCGCTGCGCCACCAGGGAAGCCCCCTGATCATAACTTTTTAAAACAGTTTGCTGATCTTTAAAATCAGGATTTATGCATTATATATTGTATTAGTTCTTTTTTTAATCAATAGCACTATCTTCTGAATGTAGGAAAAATGTTTTGAAAGTTTCTTTTGTTTCCTTGATTACTGAATAACATTATTACTGGTTGAAGTTTGAATCTTACATGACTGAATATTTAAAGGTCCAGAGTGCTATGTTCCCTTGGGAATATTATTTGACTTTTTATCTTTTTGTATAAAACCATGTTTAGATTATAAATATCTTTAAGTATTCCTTTTGGTTGAAACTTCTTATTAGATTATATTTTTATTTACCTGGTGGAATTAGCAGTGTGTACTTTTTTTTAAATGATATTTCAGTAAGAGAAGCTTTTATTTTTTTGATGAAGGATACTGCATTTCTTAGAGTAATATAGCCGGAGTTCATAATACACATTTAAAAAAATTCTTTTTCAAGTATATTGTATTTGGCTCAAATCACTTGTTATAGTTACCAACTCCTCCCTCTGCAACAGATACTCTATTTTATTGACTATGTTTATTTAAAAATCTTCAGTTAGAATTACTGTATAAATTTGTCATTCTGAGTTAAAGTAATGAATTTCAAAAGAAATGGTATTCTGCTTGTAAGTAAAATGTCAATTCTGTTTCATAGAGTATAATCACCCAAATTTCATGCAAGGTACTTCTGTCTAAAAATTAAGACTCGAATTATTAGGATTAGGTAGAATTAAGATGTGTATTTAGTTTGAATACATGATTTTTTCTTTTCAATATTCCTTATTTTTTAAAAAGTATAGTTTTCAGTTACTCATTAAATACAAGAGCTCTTCATTGATTCCTTCAGTAATAATGTAAGTGGATCTTGTATGTCTTAAATGATGGTCCATGTAAGTGTGGTGGTGGTATTGAAGGTTTTGGAATTGATGTTTATACCTGGAATTTGTTTCCAACTCTGAAATTGTCATTTCAAAATCAAATTCATTTTTATTATGTGTTATACATCTCAGTTTAAGGTAGAAAATTTATATATATGAGGTAGTATAAAAAACTTAAATGAGTAGCCGCAGAAATCCGTAAAGTTTCATGTCATATTTTTGTGACTGGATCTCTAAGACACTTTCTTCCTGGAGTTCTGACTTCTTTTATGCAGAATGTCAGCCAACTAGACTTCTGTGAATGAGATTTTGCATATGTTTATCTTTGCCATGTTTGGCCCAAGTTACATACATTTTTATTTTTGTGTGTTTGTTTAAAAAATTTATTTTCTGCAAATTATCCATATTATGTAATACATGAAAATAGAGAAACCATCTTATTTTATTGTACATTTTGCCAGAATAATTTTAGTTAATTTCTCCTCAGGGTATATTTAAATTATTATATAATGTAAATTCATATCAAATGTGATACAAGTGTGGCATTGGGTTTTTATATATTAAGAAAAGCAAACAACTTGACATTGTGATTCTCTTTTAATAATTTCTGATCTTTTTACTGTTGGGGGCAGTAGTAACTTGCTCAGTGGCTGTTTATTCTATAATGTTCACTCTTTGAGTTGGTTAGAACATTTACACCTTCATGGATGTGGTTAGAATATCTTAAACAGAATAACTATGGAGCCAACAGTTTAGCAAACTGAGCGTAATAGTTGGAGTAATTGTCTACAAAATGGTACTTTCTCAGTCATAAAGAATTTATGGGGAGCCATGTCATTGAGAATCTCACTGTACTCATTTATTTGTTGTACTGATTTTGTACTGAGAGGGCCTAGTGCATTCTGGACCCTTTCCATGGCCGAGATACAACAGTGGGGAAAAAAATCCCTGCTTTAAATTAAAATACAGGAGCCGTGGACGTCCCTCTAAATTGATGGTTCTCCCACATAAGTGTGCATTAGAATCACCTGGAGGGCTCATTAAAACACAGATTTCTGGGCTGCATGCACCTCAAGAGTTTCTGATTCAGCCCGTCTCAGGTGGGGCTAAATAATGGGCATTTCTAACAAGTTCCCAGGTGATACCGATACGTTGGGTCTGGGGACCTCACTTTGAGAACCTCTGCTTTTAAAGTGTTACTCTAAAGAGGCACAGTAACATTTTTGGTTGGTTGATTTTCGTTAGTGGTGACATACATGATTGTCCTGGTACGTTGTGTATTCTGTAGGACCCCTGGCCAATTGTTGAGACAAACCAAAACACTCTCAAGCTCTCCCAGCTACTGCCAACTGGCAAGAACTGCAAAAAGTCCATTATTCTTGACCAGGCTATGTCATGGCTATTGAGTGCTGAGTCTTAGACATAATGTGTGTTTATTATATAATGCTCTTTTTGAACTGGGATTTTATTGTTGTGTTCACAAATCTAGTTAATTCAAGTGAAGAGGGACTACAGAGAAATATAAATACATTTTGAAAATTTTGTAAAGTTTTTCACTTAACTGATTTTCAACTCTCCTTACCAGTATGAGAATGAAACGGTGTAATAATTTGTTTTTGTGTTAGTGTATTGGAACATGCGTGTGCCAGATGAAGGTGCTAGAAAACTCCTGATCTTGGCTTACCATCCTGGTAAATATGACACTATTTTGATGGATTAAAATGATGGCCTTTGTGTGAGCTCGTCTTTTGCTTTTCTAGATTGAGGATAAAGATTTGATAAATACATTTTCTAAGACCATGAGTATATTTATTAAATGTAATTTCCTTTGCTTTGCAGCTTCGATTTTCGTTACTCACTTTAGAAAGTAATGCCCACTGAGGAGTTCAATAAATGGGAATTGTTAAGTAATTTTAAGCTGTAAAGAGCTATAACCTGCCTTGTGAGACTTTACAAGGATTTATGCTAACGTATATATGTGTTTGAAAGTCTATTCAAAATCACGTAGTACGTTGAAACAACGAAATTGGTCCATAATGAGAGCACATAGTTAATATATTGACAGTAAGTAGTTTCTTCAAAAAAAATTGTGACTGTGGTAGTGCAAAGAAATAATCGCCTGGTTTGCAGCCTTCTAAATATCTTGGAAGATAGTTTCTAAAACATTGTGGTGTGTGTTAGCTAAGAGTATCAGTGCATAGAAAACAAGTGTGGAGACTTGTTTCTTATTGTAACCCAGCTGTCTCCTGGGCGCCTCTCTGTCCCGCTTCCCACAGACTAACCCTAACACCAGGAAATCCACTTTGACCAAGCATTTTTCTGTTTTTGTGAGACAGAAATGGGTGTGGCTCTGGGAAGGCATGTTATCTGTGATCAAGGAAGTCCTCTCATCCACAGACCCTGCCCTCATTTTTATTAAGGATTCAGATTCCTTGCTCCTTGGGAGTCCAGGACTTAGGAGGCTCAGCTTCTACCCCAAGGTGACTCATTAGCCTATTTTCCAGCAGGAATTCATGCAGGATAATGAGAGTAAAGCTTTGTTTCATCCATCCTCTAAAGCAAATTTATGTGGATAGATTTCTAGATGCATTTGTTTTTCTTGTTTAACTGTCGATTACTAGTTTTCTTCAACCAAAATATGATTTGA